AATTTTATGAGTAATTGAATTAATGAAAATGGAAAAGAGTAAAGGTGACAACACGCCAGCCTGCGGCACGCCTGCAGTAATATCACACCAAGATGAGTGAGTTTCATCAACATGAATACACTGCCGACGGCCACAGAGGTAACTTTGAAACCAGTCAATTACTGATGGAGATATGTTAAGGGAATACAACTGACTCAACAGTATATCGAAATCAACAGTATTGAACGCATTGCTGAAATCTAGCAAGGTCATGACTGTGAGTTGTTTATTATCCATACCCCACCGTATGTCATCAGTAACTTTAATTAAGGCAGTAGCCGTACTATGACCGGGACGGAAACCGGATTGTAAAGAATTCAACAAATTGTGCTTATTAAGGAAAAGTGTCAGCTGTTGGCAAATAAGTTTTTCAAGGACTTTAGAAAGGAAAGGTAAAATCGAAATGGGACGGAAATCAGTGAGGTTGACGGGATTAGATTTCTTCGGAAGGGGTATAACATAAGCACTCTTCCAGGCTTGTGGGAATTTAGAGGAAGATGCACATGCGTTAAGCAAATGAGTGATAATGGGAGTGATAAGATCAAGGAGAGGAACGATCATATTACGGCTAATGCTGTCGCTACCGACAGCATTTGAGGAGATGGATAATATGATTTTCTTAACATCACATACAGTAAATTGACTAAAAACGAACGGAGAATAATTAGGAGTCGGACTTACAGAAAGAGAACGAAGTGTTTGCAGTTTATGTTCACTATCAAAAGAGTTAGAAGGATTAGAAAAATGTTGATTTAATAGTTCAACATCAACACTGGGAGGTGAAGTATTAAGAGAGTTTCTACCAACTCCAACTGTTTTAAGAAATTTCCACACCCTAGATGAGTCGCCGTTCTCGACTGATGAATGAATATGGCGTCGTTGTGCATCTCTACACAATGTGTTGCAGCGATTCCGGACTTTAGTGTATCATATTTGGACCATTTCCCATTTAAAAAAAAAGTTTTCTTTTAAGTTAGCTGTTCACTTTTTTAAGTTTGTGTAAGTGTATAATTAAGTCTACTTATAAGAATGCCTAATTATAATGTATGTTTGAGTACTTATTGTAATTTTTTTAAGAAATGGCCAAATAAATATCTCTTTCTTTCTTTCTTTCTTTCTAAACTCTTTGAGGCAATATCGCGCGTATTCTAGATTACTTCTGCTAGTTGAGATCAGAGTTTAAAAATCACTGAGTTGACAAAACATTGCGTATTAACATTGTATTTTTTATTAATAAATGTTGATACAGAAACCATAACAGTATTTTATTGAAAACAAGACATCCTTTATTTTCATCGTATTTCCTTCATTTAATCTTATCAAATTGTCTAAAACATAAAACAGAGGCTGGCAACTCTACACAAATTCATTCCGACAAAATAAAAAATGTGCGACGTAAGCACACAAAGAAGTATGTGACTTTCGTTTCATCCATTCGTCTGTATTCTCTGTTCTATTTCACCTCCAAATAATAATAATAGGTAGTAAATTTATTTCATTACATTTCAGAGAGTACACACAGTTTCACACGAGTTAATAGACACTCATTACAGCCCTTCACATGTCCACTGCTGAACATAGGCCTCCCCCAAGGGCCACCAAGCACGGTCCTGAGTCATCTGGATCCGTCAACTTTCTGCATGTCTTACCAGGTCGTCACTCCATCTAGTGGGGGGCTGCCTCACACTTCGCCTACCATTACGAGACTGTCACTCGAGAGCTGTCACATCGGTTGGCGGTTCTTCAAGCTATACGATAGGCCTATTGCCACTTCAGCTTACTAATCCTTTGGGCGATGTCAGTTATTAAATTATTAAAAATTAATTGGCTAAGATCCAAGTAATAAAATAAAATGACGTGTCTTAACTAGTTTGTAGAGTACCTCCCGCCCTCCTCTAATTGCGTGCACTATCCCCGTTACCGTTAATTCCCGCACCACTATACTAGGAATACACCACCAACGATGATACGGCACATTTTTTGGTCATTGTTAGTTTTTAAACGATTTGAAGGAGGGCGGGAGGTGCTCTTCAAACTAAGTAAGACACATAATTTTATTTTGATACGCGGATCTTAGCTAATTAATATTTCTAAATCTTTTATATAATGTATTCCCGCAAGGTTACTCCTGATTCTGTTAATTTTATCGTAAAAAAGATATGAAACTGATGATAAATAATCTTAAAAGAAAGCATACAAAAAAGGTTTTCTTTTTATTTAGAATTTAATAAGAAATTCTGACTATTGAAAAATCCGTATATCTCAGGACATAGTTCGCCTCGCTAGTCTAGCGGTTATAGTAGTGCAACTGCTGATCTGGTCCTGGGTTTGAATCCCGGGTCAGGCCAAAAAAGTCAATTATTGAGTTTCTCCGTCAAGAAATTCTCAGAAGCTGCCCGGAGTCAGGAAATTGGTGGTATCCCACCCCGTGCCTCGGAAAGCACGTAAAGCCGTTAGTCCTACGCCTGATCTCTTTCCGTTTACCGTCCCATCGGATTATGAGAGTGAGGGAATAGAGAGTGTACCTGTGCTCGCGCAAAAAAAGTTACTAAAAATTCTTTTCCATTGTGATTTCCTGACATCTGTAACCAAAATATACAAATATACTTAATTTAGAACAATCATACAGATACTTTTCCTGTACACTTATACGAAAAATCTTAAAAACATACAGTATGTATGTTTTTTATTTTTTATGAACATAACTTTTATAAAAAAAAAATGTACAAACAAAAATGTTAAGAAGTGCGCATAACCTAATTCTGCGACGGCCTAGAACAAACAATGGAAAAACGAATATCGGTTATAAAAGCGCACAACTATATAGTAAACTGCCTACAGATATCAAAGTAGCTGAAGGTATGCTTACATTTATAAAACTATTTAAAAACTTACAAAATCAAATTATAATAACGCCTTAACTACTTAATAAACAAATAAATATGACAAATAAAATGTTAATATACCTAATATAATATTATCATTGTGATGGATATCTGTGTTTTCCCGCCCCGTTTGTTTCTGATTGCACGGCCGATCTTCTTTCTGTTGATCTTCGACCCTGTTATGATGGTTATAATATTCTTCTACCCGCACTATTTATTTAGTTTTGTAACATATAATATTTGTGTACTTTTATTGGCACGCTCGGTGACCACTTACAACCGTTAGGTGTGTATGTATTTATGTACTCAATATGTATTTTATTTTTAATGTATTTCTCATATAACTGAATTTATGTCAATTCTTATGAGAATAAATTCTTTTCTTTCGGACTTTGACCAGTTATTGTAGTCAGATAATTGGTGTAATAAAAATATGTATTTATATATTTACTTTTTCTTGTAATGATTAAAGTAGCCATAGCCATATAATCAACTTCCATATAATGAAAACTACAAAAATAACCATCAATCGAATTATCGTAATTAAAGTGGAAGATATTGATGCAGAGAGACTAATTTTTCTTCATTTTCAGTAGCTTTCTGCATTAGCAGTAGTTTACTCCATTTCTTCTCATAGACAGTCCTAGCTTCAGAGATTAGACGCCCTGAAGAATAAACACTACTTTCTTCCCGGTCGAACACTTTTGCCTAATATTCGGCTATTCGCCGCAGAATATTCGGTATTCGGCATATGGCCGAATATACTATTCGTTGCAAGTCTATAAATAAATAACCATTTTTGAAATTGCTGTCTGTCTATCGGTCTGTCCGGGCTAATTTCGGAATAACTAAACCAGCCAGCAGGAATCTAGGCTTTTATATAGGTGGTAGAGCCATGCTGCAGCTATATTATGGTTGTAGCACGAATGGGTCGGCTCGACCGGGGAAGGACCACGCTCTCACAGAATACCAGCGTAAAATAGCAGATTAATGCTGCTGTGTTTCATGTGGTTCGTGCAGAGAAGCGGTTACCCTTTTTTCTGGAAAGAGGCATTCCACCTTAGTCCTCAATGGTGACAACGCATCTGCATTTTGATTCTTAATCGATGATAGTTATAGCTGTCTATGAGTCGCAGCATCGATCCACGATCAGGTGGACTGTGTGCTGTCTTGTCATTGTCATACAACACCAACGGGATGATATGGGGTAGTGGATATTTTTACACCGCCACTACACGGTTAACGATACCGGTATGGGCAAATGAAAAATCGCTCTGATATATGCACACGTGACTTTAGGAATTTTTTGACTGCAGGAATAGGTAAGAGGATGATATCTATCCAAACGGATTGCTACGTAGAAAGGAAGTTCCACTTATTGGTGAAAATTACATAAAGATCTTTGTAAGCTGTCATTTAGATATAGTATTGCATTGACAAACGAACTCTCATATAATTTTTTTGTTATAAAACGCTTTATTATTTATTTATTTTATAGAATAAGGGTGATCAACGTACTTACAGTCCACCTGATGGTAATTTGCTGCTGAAGCCCATGGAAACCTGCAGCCAACAGTAGTCTTCAGAGGTTGTCTCCTCTTATGGCTACAGATGCGTTTCTTCCGAGGACTGAGACGGAATGCCTCACAGCCTAAAATATAATTACAGCTCTCTATACCCTTAAGACCAGAACAGATAATGGAATATTATTAATGAAGTGAAAAGTTCTTTAGAATCCTTCTGATTTAAAACTCGATGAAATGATAAAGTTACACTAAAAAGAGACAAACATATACATCTATAGGATGCAACCTGCAAGAGACGTATTACAGTATACTGTATTTCCTATTATCTCGGTCTCAATAAATTAATAATAAATAAGAATTAATAATATTATTTATTGTTAAAAATAAAAATAGGGTTTCACTTCTACCGCGAGTGTACTGCATACATGTGTTCTTTAATATTATAGGTATGTTTTATACATACGCCGGAGGTTTGGGCATCACTATCGGGGCACACCGTCTATGGACACACAAGACATTTAAAGCGAAGTTGCCACTCGAAATAATTTTGATGATTTTAAATTCTATCGCTTTTCAAGACACCGCAATTGTGTGGATACGGGATCACAGACTGCATCACAAGTTAGTGATAGGAAATTGTTTTCTGTGGTTTTTCTTTTATAGACATTATGAATTAAATTTCTTTACACAGTCAAAACTGGATGTACTGATATCCAAAGACTTCAATGTATACTACTAGGCCGACAGTTCAAAACAAAAACAATGTGACAGGCTGACATGAATGGGGTGCCGGTTGTGCGGGTAGCTAAATATGTCAGGCAGTTCTATTTTCATTTACACACAGACACTTACTGTTTTAGATAAATATGAAATAAAGTTACACACTTATCTGATATATACTTAAAATCACGTTGACAAAGTGCGTACATAAATAATTACAGCGTTTCAGTGAAAATCAGTGTTAGATTGTCGAAAACAACGTTCGCGGTTTATAAAAAAATGAACTTGTGAACTCGCCAGCTTGCAGTCAACTGAAGGATTAAAGAGAATTGACCGTAACTTAGTGAGCACTGTATTAAGGCAACAGAACGCGTCTTGTAGTATACATATAAGTCTTTGCTGACATCGCTTACAACAATGAAAGAACAAATGGCTTACTGTGACGAAACGCCTAGCTACCAGCAGTATCGTCATCCATCTATCAATTACAGTCTATAAAAGTCTAATGCTGAACATAGGTCTACCCCACTGATTGCCTAATGGGGGGGGGGGGGGATTTTGTCTTAGTGGCCGTGCGAGACAGGCGTGTTGGCAACTGCAGTTATTTTTCTTATTCAGAGTTGTTATCAGAAAGATGCTGCTGCCCAATTCCTATTTCAGCATCCCTTTGGCGCCTCTCGCGACACCCACGCGACGATATGGGGTAAGGGATATTCTTACATATACTTGCTATTCCAAAGTATACCTCCGTAAAACTGGCATCTCATTTTTGTTTAGTTAATGTTACAGCCTATATACGTCCCACTGTTAAGCATAGGCCTCCCATCATTTTTAAGAAGGTTTCAGGGCAAGAAAGGATCCGTCGCGTTGCCCCAATGCACGTTGGCGAACCTCACACGTCTTCGAAAAGTTTTTTCTCATTTATCAGACATGCAGGTTTCCTCACAATGTTTTCCTTCACTGCCCAACATGTGGTAAATCAGCACTTAAAATTGTAATTAACAATTTCATTGGCGCTGTCGTCGCGCCACAAGCGAAACACATCGAAGCTCAAAACGCACTATCAAAGTTCCGAATCAAAAACAGTATATATTGAATAGCTCCGAAATTAGCACACGGAGCGTTGGCCGCTCCCCGGGCAGAACACCTTGCTCGGCGGGAGATCTCCCTCTTTCCTCCCGGCCACATGTATAAATATTTATAACAAAATTCCCTGTTATATAATTTTGTCTTTTTCATTCACCTTTGCAAAAATTCTAAAGCGGAGAGTTCACTAGATGGGCATGCCCGCGGGCTGTCTGTCTGGGCATGTCTGTCGCCGCAATACACTACACTGACTCATCAGTTTATCTTAGACCGGCTACGTGAAAAATTGTGCATCCACAAGTGAAACACATCGAAGCTTAAAACTATACATATATATACACACACATATATATATATATATATATATATATATATATATATATATATATATATATATATATATATATATTGAAATAATACTAGTTTTTACGGAATTTATCGCGTATATTTAACTTTTGTTCCGATCTATGCAGTATGAACTTATGGTATCTTGAAGTCTTGCAGTTGTATGCTTGGGTTGGGATTTAATTTTATTTATTATAGGATCCCAAGGTTCTACAAGCGGTACGTAGACGACACTTTCACAATTCTACCTTTAGATAAAGTAACTGCATTTTTAGACCATCTTAACTCTATAAATTCTAAAATTCAGTTCACAATGGAGTTAGAGGCAAACAATTCCTTAGCTTTTCTAGATGTGTTAGTAATTCGGAATCCTGATAACATACTGTGTATAGAAAAAAGACCCACACAGATAGATATTTAAACGGTGATTCTCATCACGATCCTTAACAGTTAGCTACCGTGGGTAAATCTTTGTTTCAGAGAGCACGAGGGATCTGTGACAGTAAACACCTGGCTGCAGAGATCCACCATGTCAAGCAAGTTTTGCATGACAACAAGCTTCGAGTCCCGCGCCTACGACACAGTGAACGAGTGAAGCCGGCCACAGTCGAGCGTGTACCTGCTGTACTGCCATATGTTAGAGGAGTCACTGACAAGATTGGCTACATCTTGAAGCGCGCTTCCATCAAAACATACTTCAAGCCGCTGAAGAAGATTGGTCAGTTTTTACCATCGGTCAAGTGTAATGTCCCTCTGCAAGATGCAGGAGTGTACAAGCTTGATTGTGAATGTGGTCTCTCCTACATAGGACAAACTAAAAGATCAATAAAAACCCGCGTTAAAGAACATATAGCTGATGTGAAGAATCGACGCTCCGGGAAGTCTGCAGTCTGTGAACACGTACAGGATCGCCCCCGTCACTACATCAGATTTGATAGACCGCAGATCCTCGCTAAAGAACACCGATTCCTTCCAAGGATGATTCGCGAGGCTATTGAAATCAAAAAACATCCTAATTTCAATAGAGAAGATGGCTGGGTGCTACCATCTGCTTGGGATCCTATAATAAATAAAATTAAATCCCAACCCAAGCATACAACTGCAAGACTTCAAGATACCATAAGTTCATACTGCATAGATCGGAACAAAAGTTAAATTTTAATCTATGGTAACCGCGGTTAACTATGACATATGGACGTTGAACATCTCAGTCCTGCCCGTGACCATGAGAGCTGTAAAGCGTTCGAAACGTCGGGTAATTAAAAAGTTAAATATACGCGATAAATTCCGTAAAAACTAGTATTATTTCAATGTGTAGTGTTCGCGTAAATATAAGAAATTATTATATATATATAGAATAGCTCAGAATTATCACATGGAGCGTTGGCCGCTCCCCGGGCAAAACTACATTGCCCGGAGGGAGATTTCCCCCTTTCCTCCCCTGTCACATGTATAAAAATATTTATAACAAAATTCCCTGTTATATTATATTTGTGTTTTTCTATTCACTAGACGAGCATGCGCGCGGGCTGTCTGTCCGGGCATGTCTGTCGCCGCAACGTACCGTACACTACACAGACTCATCAGTTTGTCTCCGTATATAATATTGAAGTCTTTGATTTGTCTTAGACCGGCTAAGTGAAAAGTTGTGCGTGCGTGCACGTATGAGTTTAGCCATATCAATTTACATAAATAATTAGAAGTTGATAAACCAGGAGACCTGTACAATTACTTGCGCATGGATATAGAGTCGTATAAACTCTTCCCAAAATATTTTGTTATCATTAAAACTCATTGCATATTAAAAATCTCGAAAGTTCGTTAATTTAATATAAAAGGCCGTCTGCGTTGGTTGTTGTCGCTCTTGTGTCTGTGAACACTGCCCGTAGTAAGCAGTCACGTTCTGGCATGTCTGTGTCCGCGCAGATAAAATGAGATCGCTCGGAGGTTCAACAGGCAAGTCAGCCAGACCGACTGCGACGGCCCTACACTAACAAACTTTGCACAGACCTATAGTAAGGAAGTCCGGCGCGCATATCTGCAGACATGTCCGTGGGAAAGTCCGTCTAGTGAATTCCTCGCTTATTATATATTATAAATTAGGCGGCTATCTAAAAGATACGAATAAGTGAACATAATAAGATTCCATAGATCTTTTTTATTTATGTATGCCTATATTTTTAAGGTACTTGTATGTACTGGTATTTGTATGTGGTATTTATATATTATTAGTAAAAACGTCCCGCTGAGTTTCTTACTGTTTCTTCCAAGGACGGAGATTTTTTCCGAATTCATTGGTAAAGTAAAAAAAAAAAATACTTTTAATAAGAATTACATACATGTAATCTATTTTGAATAAAACTTGGTTTCGTAAGGTTAGTCATAATTTTGGAAATCCACGTTCTTTTATTTGTTTCAAAACAGACACATACATGCATACATACGGACATTGTCACAAAAATAGCCCAAATAGCTTCCTAGGGCCTCGGAACGTTGAGATCTGACTTTGGTTTCACGTCGGATCAGAACTCGATTTTCAAAAAACAATAACTTCCCCATTTTTCGAAAATCATTGATTTTCATAGCGAGCCTACTTCTAAGTTGTCATGGTCAGGGGAGGGGGAGGTGATTAATGGTGATTGCGTCCCGATTTCATAGTTAGGTTACCTTCAGCTTTTGAATATTTACTTTTGGCCCGATCTACGCAGAACGAGCTTACAGTACTTGTAAATATTGACGTGTCGTACTCTAAAATATGTCAGTTTCCCCAAGATATTTTCCATGAGCACGTAGTAGATGAGCACCTACTGCAGCTACTCAATTTCTTTGGTACTGATAAGTAAATATAAATATGAAATTTTGAGGTGACCGCTTATAATAAGAAATCCTTAAGAGCTTTGCAAAATACAATTTTCAATCTTACAGACCAAATTTTACGTCACGGTGGACAGTCTCAAAGGAGACTAGCCATCTAGGTAGGAAAAGTGTATGCGCAAGAAGAGGTCCACTTTCTATTCCTTATTCAGAAAGTCCGATCGGATGGTAACCCGACATGACCGGCGAGAGATAAGTCTCAGGCCGAACGACTTTATGTGCTTTCCGAAGCACGTGAGTGAAACATCGACAATTTCTTGACTATGGGCTGCTACTGAGAATTTCTTGACAGAAAAACTAAGTGGTAGATTTCGGCCTGACTCTAAATTCGAACCCAGGACCTCATGATCAACAATCACGCGTACGAGCAGTACACCAACGAGGTAGTCATCAACATTTTTCATGTATAGATACAGCGACACTGACGCGGATCCGTACAACGCTTCTAGAGGCTTCTTCTTCTCGCACATCGGATGGCTGCTTGTGAGGAAACATCCGAAAGTGATAGAAAAAGGGAAGACCATTGATATGAGTGACATTACTAACAATCCCGTGTTGAAGTTTCAGCGGAAGTAAGTACAATACAGGATTATTTTGCTATTTACGTCCAAATTTATAGATAAGCTTTTAGAGAAAAGACTGGCCGCCTTAACATGTAATTCGCACTGTAGGACTTTTCACTATGAAAATCCGCAGTAAAACCAGAGTGACCGACATAGCCCAACGGATTAGTAAGCTGAAGTGGCAATGGGCCGGCCATATAGCTCGAAGAAACGATAACTGATGGGGAAGAAAGGTTCTCGATTGGCAGCCTCGTACCGGTAGGCGTAGTGTAGGGCGACCCCCACTAGATGGAGTGACGACCTGGTAAGACATGCAGGAAGTCGATGGATGCAGGTGGCTCAGGACCGTGCTTTGTGGCGTTACTTGGGGGAGGCCTACGTTCAGCAGTGGACTTGTGAAGGGCTGTAATGATATATATATATATATATATAAAATTCCAAAGAGGTTTGCACTTCAAAAATACGTAATAAAATCATTAAATTTTCAGATATGCAATTCCCGTGGTAGGTATGTGCTGTTTTGTCATACCAACTCTGGTCCCAATCTATTTCTGGAATGAATCTTTTATAAACGCCTTCTACCTTAACCTTTTTCGCTATGTTTATGGACTTCACGTAACGTTCAGCGTCAACAGCGTCACTCACTTATGGGGCAACAAGCCGTACGACAAAACCATCAAACCAACCCAATCGATCATCGTTTCTCTGCTGTCTGGTGGCGAAGGCTACCATAACTACCACCACGTGTTCCCATGGGACTATAGAACGGCCGAGATCGGGAACAACTGGATCAATACGTCCACGTTGATCATAGATTTAATGGCTAAAATTGGTCTAGCCTACGATTTGAAGACGACTACAGAAACAATGGTGCTGGAAAGGATTAAGCGAACTGGGGATGGAAGCAATTTGTGGGGGATAGGTAGAAAATTGTAAGCGGCCTTTTAGATATAGAACCAAGCTAATTATTTACATATATTTAAAACATTAATTTACAGGTGATGGTACGGAATGGTTAGAAACAGAAATAGAAGTAGAAACTTTTTATTCAATGTAGATTATAATAATACTTATTGAAAGTCACTTTTTTAATTTACCAGTTGATGTCTGCGACATATTTTCAAGAAAGCGATATATATATATATATATATATGCTTTATTACACACAATAGAGTCGGTTGTTTCCTATATACTATTGTCGCTAAACTGCAGGGTATACATCATCTACTTGCATTCTATGTACCTACTGTAATTAATATCCTGATCTTGGATTTAAAACTTAAAATAGTTAAATTAAATTTAAACTTAGCAGTGTTATTTACACACCCCATTATTTTTTTTATTGTTACACATAAAAATATTAATTTATACTATTATTTTTAATTCAGACAATATTAATTATTACACGTATCCAGGAATCACTTTTTTCAACTTGCTTTTAAATATTTCTTTATTACCACATTCGTCTTCAGAAAATTATAAATTTTTAAACTATTTGCATTATAATAATTTCTGTTAAAAACTTTTTATAAAATTAACAATACAGTTTTTGATAATTATATGGAAATAATATATAAAATAAAAGGGTAATTTAATTTAGAATACAATTTTATTTAAATTATTCAAAATGCCCTCCCCTATTTTAAATACATGCCTTTAATCGACGCGGTCAATCATCAATCGCAGCACACACCATACTCACACTCAATCCTACTAGAAGGAAGGCAGTCTTCATGTCCGATAAAGTCAACTCCATGGACGGTCACCCAGTTTTGCGTGCTTCGTGCCCAATAAACTGGTGCAGAGTCCTGTTGGAACGCCAAATGTCTGTTTTTGAACATTGTTTGAGAAAGAGGTTCTACTACATTTGTTAGGACGGTTTTTTGATAAACCTCGCCACTGGTTTTACACCTTTTTCGCAGAAAAACACCTCAGTTAAGCCTGAATATGAGCCAAGCCATGAGTGACGAAGGATAATTTGCTCGTTGAACCCTCGGAATATACGTGCTGGCTTCTTCACTGCTGTGGGCATACACCTTATCATTTTGTTTGTTATAACTTTCTTCGATGTTAAAATTTTTTTCATCCAAAAACAAAATTTCGCGGTATATTTTTCCCGCGTACCGCCTCAACGCCACTAAAAAAGTGTAATTTAAAATGTATTTCCAAACTGATTTTTACTTACGTACTAAAATTATATGTATTGTATTGTATGAGTCATACTATCTATGTATGACTTATACAAAATATTAATGATAAAGGTTTAATATTTTTCAAAAATAATATATAAAAAATGATTATATAATTTTTTACGGGAAAATGTGAAACATTAAAAAAAAAACTAGAGTATATATTGTGGATGTTGTTTTGGACAGGCCTTGCCTTAAATGGGGTTCTTCATCTAGAGGCTTATTAATTGTACAACACCGACTATTGCCGCTTCATAAATCTCCGTCGACTTAACGTCAGCACTGTGAAATATTAACCGCACATCGGTTTTGACTTAGTTGAAAACAAGTAAATAATAAAGTTACAATTATTGCTATCGTGGTTGTATTAGAAACTTTGAAATATCTTTATTTCTCTTATATAACAGATGTAGTTTGATAACTCCACGTTTTGCAGTGGACTGCAGCGGACTGAAAAAACCACAGAACTGCGAAAAAACAGTTAATCTCATTTTCAATTAAATCAGTATTCCCACACTAGGACGAGTTTTAAAACCATAAATTGCACACATAGAAATCACAGAGCTGTAACGATTATTTTTAGAAAATACACATCTTTATTTCATGTGGGAATCGAAGCCGCAGCGTAACGTATCGCGGCTGCAAACACTTAGCTACTGCGCTATCAACGTGTTTGATAATATCTAAGGCCTCAAAATACTTTAAATTATTTTCTTTTCTTTAATTAATGGATAAGATTTAAGTATAAATAAAAGCCCATATCATTTTACGTGAATAATTTTAAAATATGTTACAGAACTTCATCCAGTCTCTATATTATAGTTTCCCGTGAAGTCGAAAGTTTGGCATTCAGACGTGTTATGTTCTGTTACTGCATCGAGTGGGGGACTAGTTGCAGTACATAATATTATGTGGCTACAGATTTTAACGTCGAAATACAAGTAATATTACAGGGCATTCTCCTTGGTACTATAATAAAATAAAAACATGGGTTTGAAATGTGAAAGCCGTACTCTGGTTAAATAGTTTACTACTTTTTTGTTAAATTAATCCTTACACATTTTTTAATCATTTATTTCTAGTTAAATCAACGCTAATGCGACTAAACTCAATGCAGATATCGTTTTGGTTGATGGAACTTGTTCGAAAATTTGATACTAATATTTTGTCATTTGTTGAAATCTGTAATTTTGAGTTTTTCAATAACATAATATATGAAAATAGATCAAAAATGTTTTTAATTAACTTTTATGTAAATTTAATTTTTGGCAATGTGATATTTTAGCCAACAGGCACAATATTTTTTTTTACAAAGTATATATAATAACTGACTTTTGTTTAGACTATAGTATAGAGAATTTCATATTGATTCTATAGTGCCAAACTTTTTCATAGAAAAGTAGTCTCTAAATATAAGTTGTTATGGTTTAAAGTGCTGTGGGTGGGTGCGGTCGCATGCGGCCGCTCGGGATTTGACGGACGCATGCGACGACTTGGGAATTTATGGTGATTGTTATATTTTCTTACTCCGAACTTTATGGAAGAAGAAGAGCTGGGATAGTTTTGAATTTAATTTTCATTTTCATATGGAAACTTGCACGACCAAAAATTTAAAATATTTCGAGATCTTGTTAAGTTTGCCAATACACATTAGAACAGTGCATAATAATACTCTTTTCCATTAACACACGCTCTAAAACGAACTGAAAAAGTTTTTAATTTCTTTACTTTTATTTATCTATCTCTTTACTTCAATAACGGAAACTAACAAAAAACAACTTTATGTTTCAAATTTTTACGTCATTCTTCTAAGGAATAGGCATCATGCTGCATTTCTTCACTCTGCTATTTTTCATCAATCCATTATATGGACTCAGAAGCTGTTTTGCTTAGCATATAACAAAATCTGTTTGTATTTTCCTATAAATTAGAATTTATAAAAAATAATTAAAAAGTAGGTACTTTTTGCAGTCAATAAATACCAAATACTTTCACACAGCTCCATCGAAGAAAAGCGTTGAAGCTTCAAATTAAGATTCTTTAAGTTCTTTTCAAAGAAAAAAGATTAATGAAGCGTGGCACCTGGAGATCGCTCCTATGTTATACGGTAGCGACTAGTCCAGAGGAGGAAAAGACTGCGAAAAATAATGAGCTTTATATAGTTTAAAGGACTATGCACTTTGATGTATTCGATAATACGTATTAAAATTTGAGAGCCGTGATAGATCAGAGGGTAAGCGCTTACTGTACATTTTAAAGTACGCGAGTAGCCCGGTTTCGATCACCGCCTGCATCAATGCAATTGTTAAATGGCAATTTTAATTGTTGATTTACCACGTGCTAGGCGGTGAAAAAATATATCGTGAGGTAACCTGCACGTCTGAGTAATAAGAAAAAAAAATATTTTGAAGACATGTGAAGTTCGTTAACGCATTGGGTTAGCGCGAACACTTCCTTGCCCCAAAACCGTCTCAGAAACGAGAGGAGGCCTGTGTCTAGCTGTGAGACGTAAATAACCTGTAGCTTTAACTTTTTTTTATTAAAATTTATTTGCTACTAGTGATCTGCCCTGACTTCGTCTAGGTAAGGCAAAAATTCTCCGATATTTTAGGACAAAATAAAGATCACCGGCTTTGCTCTCTATCGGTTCGCGAAGTTTCCGTTCCGTTCCGTTTGTTTCCGAAGAATCCGTTTCGCCATTCTGAAAATTAGTTCGGACAGACGGGCAGACAGACATATGAAAAAAATTTCTACTCATGTTATAATGGCATGCAATAAAATAGCACAATATTGAGCAATTATTTCGATATTGTAGACAGACACTTCAATTTTATTTATATGTGCCTATAGATGAACTTAATGAATAAGTAGTTATTTATTACGAATATTTATTAATCTGTTTAAGTTGTGCAATGATTTTTTATAACTTTCGATGTCATTTAAGTCATTAAGAAAGTTATGATAGACTTCGATTGGCCTTTCACGATGAAGCCCCATCTCGTGCCACTGTTTTCAACTGGTTTAATGAGTTTGAACCCGGTCGCACTAATCTCACCGATGATCTGAGTGAGGGACGGCAACGACTGAAAATAACATCAGTGTTGTGCGGCGTATGATAGAGACTGACAAAAGAGTGACTTATCAGCAGATTTGGAAGCTTAGGAATCGGTATAAGATAAGTGCACAAAATCCTCCATGAATATTTAGTGGTCAAAAGGCTTTGTGCCCGGTGGATACCTCATAATTTGACAGAGGCCCAAAAAACTCAGTCGTGTTGATTAGTATATCGAAATGGTTCAAAGATTTAACGGAGGTGACTCAAATGCTGTGTTCGACATACTTAAGGGTGACGTAAGATGGATTTATTATTATGATCCTGAAACTAAGAGACAGTCTGCTGTCTGGATGTTTCCTTCCGAGGAGTTTCCAACTAAAGTGAAGAGAGGTTGAAGCGTGGGAAAAAAGATGGGGGCCTCGTTCTTTGGAAGGACAGGTCATTACGCAACAATTGTTTCAGAGGATCGAAAAACAGTTACTGCAGAGTGGTACACTAACAATTGTTTTCCACTTTTCTTGGAAGAAGTTAGGGAGAAACGATCTCGTCGTAGGATCCTCCTTCACCACGACAACGCCTCGTCGCACACCGCCAAGCAAACATTCGACCACTTAGCGATGTCAGACGTGGAATTACTGGGTCACCCACTATATAGCCAGACCTCTATCACTCTTGCTACCTGCGTGAAATAA